AAAAAAAAAAAAAGCAAGGAAATGGTGGTCACCCCATAGATTATATATTTTAAATGATCTGTGTATAATTCCTATCTCTTTGTCTCTACTTAGGTACATAAGAATGTGACGCTACAGGTTCCAGTGGGACTGACTATACATACCTCTTTAGTATGTTCTGTGACTCTGCTCATTACAATCCTGTGTTGTACTTTGATCCTTGTAGCTGTTTTCAAATATGGTCATTTTTCCCTATAGGTTTTTTTTTTAAGTTGAATGTTTTCCATAAATCTATATAAGACATACATTTGTGATTACAAGTGTTTTCCTACAATCATATGATTACATTTGTCTTGTATTAATTTAGTTTTAAATATATACTTAATGAAAGAATCAGGACAAAAATTATGTTCAACCAAGGAAACTTTTCATTTTTCTCCGCTGAATCCAGAAGTCAATGTACTGTTGTGTAGATTCTTGATAATCCTCAAGCATCAGGTATAGAGAAAACTTAATTTTGTAAAAGTAATATTTATTTTGTAAAAAGTGACTTCATTTTGAACTGATGAGTGAATAGGAACTTTTATATTAAGGGAGAAAGTTGAGGAAGCCATTATATATGAGAATTTTTATAAAGAATAAAATAATATGCATGAATCAATTTGATTTCATAAGAAATTTAATTTCATCAGAAAATTTATGATGGAAAAAGATTCCTCAGCACAACTTTTTTGGGTTTTTTTCTCACCAATGTAGTTTTCAATTTCCTTAAAACTTCTTATAATAGGCCTGTGTTAGCCTGGGTTGACTAGAGAAACAAATTCATAAACACTCATGTGTGTAAGAGAGAATGCTATATCAAAGAGCAATTATATATGAAGAAAATATCCAAACCCAGACCAGATCAAGTCCATAAGTCCAGTATTAGGCCGTATGTCGATGCTAGTCCATAAATTCCTCTTCAGACTCACACAGCCATGCAATGATATTGAATGCAGGAAGATCACGAGCCAATGGGTGAAAGTCTTATGGATCCAGTGGTGGTGGAAACATCTCAGTGCTGGCATGGGTCTACACATGGCTCCTCCAGCTCTAGGGCTCTGGCTCTTTTCAGCGTAGCTCCATATGGCTTGTCAACAGGAATGTCTCGCAGGGAGTCGAAGCAGAGAGTGTGTATCTGGCCTCTGGTGAGCTATTTATCTCCTTCGTGCCTCCAAATGAGGTCATCAAGCTGTGACCTGATTAATAGGCTAGACTCTACTCCTTCGTAAGTTGACACCAGATATGTGACTCACACAGAGCCCTCATGATCATCTGTGTCCTTCGAGAAATATCTATCAAGATAACTACTTTGGAATCTAACCATCTGAATTGACCTCTCTCCTTGAATTTAACTGGCCAAGTAAATTCCCTTAGAAGCCACAGTTCAGCTATTACCCCTTTGTTGAAAGCACACTTACAAGACTAAGAAAAGTGTATTGGTGAGAGAACTTGTATACAGCCATTCATTGATCATGTCTAAACACGTGTTTGGAATGAACCCATGCCTGGATGAACCAGAACCCTAACAATACTTTTGATTCATTCTTAATTTCCTAAAACATGTTTTAAGTAGAAATAAATATTTTAAACCACATATATGCTTGTCTAGTAACAACAATTCCTTTAATTCACATTTTATTGTGAATCCGGTGAAGGTTTCAATAGCAGAACATCAAGTTTGTCTCCAACAGTTCATAAACATTTTGTTTCAATTTATCCATTGCCACCTCCTCAGTGCACCATCACTTATCCCACTTAACTCCCTGTTTCTTATTTCCCTCCTCCTTTCCTAGTCCTTGAGTAGATGCTGTCCTTTTGATCTTAATGGTTGATTAACGTGGGAATGATTTCAATTCCAGACCTGAATGGTGGCTAAAGGCAATCGTCTCAGGATTACACCAGTGTCTTTTTTTTTCTTTCTACAACAGAAGGATTTATTATTACCTTGTTTCTAAGATGCTAACAATTGTAAGATGCACAATTGTTCTAAAAATGACATCAATAGACTCATCAATTACAAGATACATCCTGATTTCAGGAGCATGCTGGTTGGCTCCCTCTTTGTATACAGCTATTATGTGCCAAGCAAAAGAGCCCCAGCACTCAATGGTTAAGTGCTGCTAACTCAAAGGTCAGTGGTTCAAACCCGCCAGCTGCTGCCTGGAAGAAAAGCCCTGTGATGTGTTCCTATAAAGGCTGTTCCTGCTGCTGCAAGTGGTCAAACTGCTTCTGACTCAGAGACCCAGGGCAGAACCATCCCATGGGACTCCAGGGACCTGCATCTTTACCGATGCTGCCTGCCACATTTTTTTCCCCTGGAGCTGCTGATGGGTTCATACCACTGACCTTTGGGTTAGCAATGGAACACTTAACTACTGCACCGCCAGGGCTTCTCCCATAAAGATTAGACAATGCTACAGGGCAGTCCTACTCTGTTCAATGCGTTGATATAGTTTAGAATTGACGGCCCTTAACAACAGGTACCAAACGCTATGAGAAGTATGTTACTACGTCTCTGTTATAATAACCCGGTCAGGCAAATGTTATCATTTCCACTTCACGGGCTAGGAAACTGCTCACTTTTCCCAGGCCACACAAGAAGGAAGAGGGTCTTCCTATTTTCAAATTGTTTTTCCCTGTCAGTAGATGGCTTTCCAGGTTAAAGAGTCAGAGATCAGCTCCATACAGAGAAATGGTTTGTGAAGCTTGTATGGTGCTTTCAATATTCCTTGAATCTCCACAAGGTGACCTGGAAGGACACAGGTGACAAATAGAGTTATAATCTAATCAGTTTCCAAAACCTGGTCAGTGGAGGGAAAGTGTTCACAGGAGAGTCGGGACTGTTGGAATTCCACTATTTGGGACCAAGAACTGGAACAGGATCAGGATTGCTCAGCCCGGTCGGTGAGGAGCCCTGACCAGCCATCAGGATTGCTCCAGCAGCACGCTCAACCAAAGACAGTTATTGCTCACGGTCCTTTCACTCTGACTCCATAGGAATAGATGAGTTGGAATCAACTCAATCGATGGCAGTGAGGTTTTGTTCCCTATACAAGTGAAGTAGAAACCTTTTGAGAACTCAGGCTTTCCTGTAACTCCTCTTAAGGAGGGAAGCATGCTGACCACTTATTTGGAGCTAGCCAGTGGTCCCCTACACCGGAAAAGAGGTTTTCTTGCCAAGTTAGTCATAAACAATTCCCCTGTGCCTGGTGATGGGATTGAATATTTTGCTACAAAGCTGTGGGTTTGATGCTGATTCTGAGATGACCCTATTGTGAGGTTCTCAGAAGCAAACCTTGACACCAAGCACCTAGCCATAAGACTCCTGTGTTATATGCCTGTCTGTCTGTCTAGCAATGCTGCTTGCGGGGAGAGAACCCCAAGCCCTTATCAGTGGATTCCCAACATAGCTCTACCTTATCAGATGACAAAAGAAAGTCCTGTAGCTTTCTGGGAGGGGGGAAACAGGGATATGGATATGGGTGGGGTGGCAGAGCGGGATGGTGCCGGGGGTTGCATGTAGCATCAGAGACCGCAGACAAAGATGCTTCCTTTGACGTGACTGGAAGAACTCATGGTGAAGCAGCCAGAGCAGAAATGTGCTTCTTGGTCTTGATTCTGGAGAATGCTCTTGGGACAGTGGCTGAGAGCACAGCTAATGTGGTGGTGATGGCGGTGTCGTCATCGGTTCTCCATGGGGACAGCAACAGGGGTGAAGGTTACAGTTGCAGGTTGTTAGCTGTTGTGTTGGCTGTGTTGTTGTTGTTGTTTGGGCCCAGGGCAGAAGGAGAGGCTGGCTTGAGGCCCTTGGGCTCCAGTTCTCCCTGGTCCCCATTTTCCTGTTGTACATCTTCAGAAGGATCAGAACCACGGTGAAGATGACGATGACAACCACCACAATGGCAGTGACAATGGTGCCCAAACTCTCATACAGGAAGTCTTCTCCCCTCGTGGTCATGTTCAATGAGAAAAGGTGGTAACCCCCAAAGGGGTGACAGTGGTCATCTCGGTCACAACACATGCAATGACGTCAAATGCAGGAAGATCACAGGCCAGTGGATGGAAAGTCTTGTGGATCCAGCAGCAGTGGAAGCATCTCCATGCTGGCAGGGGTCTCCACGTGACTCCTACAGCTCCCAGGCTCTAGCGTAGCTCTATGCATCTGTCCACAGGAATATCTCACAGGGAGTGAGTCTACACCAGTGTCTTTTGGACTAGTCAACCTAGTATTTTTTTTTTAATGATTTGGGGGTTCTACATTTTCAACCACTCCATCCAGAAGATTCTAATGTGATTCTTTTTAGAGCAGTTAGCACTAGTAGCTATGTACTGTCTAGTTCTGGTCTCAGGGTCCCATAGGCTGATGTTAATATAGTGCAGTACTTCCAAGGTAGGTGATACAACCCCGGATACAACAGATAATACACTTTATCCTGGGTTATGGGCTGTAGTACAAAAGTTTTTCGTTGCTAGGGGAGAGTGCTATTTTTTTCTAAAAAGGGGGCAGTAGAACAAATAAGTGTCCATTAATCCATTGGATTACTTGTTTTTATATGTCTTTTGATTTTCATCATTCATAGTTCCCTTAGACAGGGAGAGACCACTAGTTTCACCTTGGACTGCTCTCAAACATTTGAGATCACAGTTACTACTCATCAAAGTAGGATGTAGACCACTGCCTCTGTGTTTTTGACCCTGGTGCCCCCAGTTACTGTGGCCCTGAGCCTGGAGACCCAGCAACCATTCCTTCAGAGTGGTAGTTTCTGGCTAAGGAGTTTCCGTAATTTTGTCTCCGTTTACATTCATGAATATATTTACAGCAAAGATAAATGTACATATGCACATGTCCTCTGTCAAATCTATATTTGTGCTATACTCCCACCCTCCCTCTCACACCTGTTCAGATTGTGTGTCTAGCTAAATACTTGTAGATCACCACTATTGCAGGATTGTACTTGTACTGGCTTCTGTTCCCTTGAACTCTTACAAACCTCTCATTGTCTTCCCTATCATCATTTTTTGCTGAATTCCCTCTTACTGTTTGTTGGCTTCCCCTTCACCCAAATTTATAATTACCGACTAGCTAGCCAATGACTTCACCTCCCTCCCTTTCTCTCCCACTTCTAGTAACCGTCAAAGAATGTTTCCTTTAGTGTGAAAACCTTCCTCTTTGATACAATGGAATTTTTCTGGTTTGACCTCTGTATTCATGGTTATATTATCCTTTTTGTATATATAACAATGAGTAAGCACTTTGCATTTTAAATCAGTTTGGTAATTCTGTGTATGGTCTCTTGCTTAAGCCTAAGACAATGAGTACTGTTCTGGCCTGTATGTTCCAGTATTTAGTACACATTTGAGATTTCCTTTTAATGATTTAAGTACAGGTAGTCCCTAGGTTACAAACTTCTGCTTTATTATATAACATTAAAGACCACTTGCCCTTTAATGTTACAGAAATTTGCCCTCACTTGAAATAATTGAGCCAACCCCTACATGCAACAAATTCTTCATCACAGTCATTTTCAAGTGCTGCATGTGTATGTTAGGGTTCTCTAGAGAAACAAAACCAGGTCACTAAGGATTTTATATCGAGATATAACATATTAAATAAGCAAT